CTCCCAGGTGGGGCTGCTGGTGCAGAATGGCCACTGTGTGTCCCAGGTGGTGGCTACACTTTAGTGAGAAAGGAAGTGGATCCTCTGCTGTATGTAGTATAAGCCGTTTTGGGGTTCTTTGGCATGAGAGGTGATGCACAAAATGACTATGACTATATTGCTATGTGACAGAAACCGGAGGTGGATATGGGGACAAGCAAACGCTTGTTTAGTTTACCTTCTGCCATGTCAGGAGACCGTCCCTGGGACCCCGCAGAGCCGGAGGACAGAGCCCGGGCTGCCACCGCGGAGGCAGCGTTCAGTAACCGCAGCCTGAAGAACAAGCACATCGCGTTTCCTGACATTTCCTGAACAGCATGTCACACCAAACACACCAGAGAGGAGATAAATACCGCTCTGTGCGAATACACAGGGCCTTTCCTTAATGACGGTTTTTAAATTCTGCACTTCATTGCACTTTGACAAATTCTGAGACAACATGCGGACGAGACTGCTCGGTTCTGAGACCACGCCTATCAATGTAATCACTGTTGGACTATTTCACCCCAAACACCTGGAGATTAGAATCTTATTACGCTCCCGTTATTAGAAATAATCTGTATTTAAAGGGCGGTTGATAAAAAAAATGTTATTTACCGTAATGGTTTATTAAACAATGATAAAATCGAGTTTGGTTCACAGTGCAGAAGCTTCACAAACTTGAGAAGAAGAGATAAGGGTGATTCGTTTAAACATGCTCTATGTAATATGAACAGACTTACCTTAGGGACAAGTAAGGTAACATTTCTGTGAAGCAGTAAGAATATAATCTATGAAACACGCCAACGCGCACAGCACAGATGGCTAAAAATGACAGGACTAATAGTTCCGGGTGGACGTGACGTTTCCTATTACGTCATGATTGCAGCAAACCCGCCCTATAAAGTTTACACAAGCGCTGCTTCTGAAGCGTCAAACTGAAACCGAGTTCTTAGTTGCAAAAAGCTTGGAAAAACCCCTTGACAGATATTGCCTTATAAACAAGGTTCCGGAAATACCATTTAAAGGTTTTAGGAATTATCCCGTTCAGCTAACGCTCTCTAGGTTCAGATATAAAAAAGATGATTCATGCGTGTTCTGTAAGACTGGAAAACAAGCGCTTGACACGTTTATCGGTTACCCGTACATACAAAGCTGTTTTAGACAGACTTACGAAAGTTTGTCTTTCGGCATTTAAATGTGAATTTTAAATGTAAGGACTTTGGCATTATGTTATGTTTTGCCAGATGTAATATGATTGAAGAACATTTATGATTAATGTGTTAGTACTACCGGGTAGACATCACCTTCACAAAACAAAATGGTCTCATGCGGCACCCTGCTTTAAAGTTTATAAGATGGAAATATGACTTAAGAAGCAGCATTAATGAGCAGCGTTGTTCTTCATTGTATCCTAAAATGCACAGGGGGTCCGTGCAAGGCAGCTCCAATGGATGGATATACAGCACGTTCACGGATGTTATCAGCGCATCCGGGCTCTGGACCCGCTGGAAACCTCGGACCCCGGACCGCGGCCGAGTGCACCTGCGCGCGCGCTGCCTCGCGGTGACCGGGCCGAGAAAAACACAGGCACGTGCACGAGCCCTTCTGCGACAGACCGGGGGGAGACGTGAACGAATGTGAGCGAGCAAAAAAAATAAAAATAAATAAAAAAAGAAAACTTCTCGACAGCGCGAACTGCACTACAAACAGCAACAGAAAGGACGGGGAAAGAGGTGATGAAGCAGCCCGTAAAAACGAGTATTGGGACAGAATCGAGATCCGCACCTGGGATGATCGCCGACAGTGCCTTTTGTACACGAATTCACCACCTCCAATAATGTCCTGATTTGTTGTATTAAAAAAAGGTGAAGACACGTTTTTGAGCGGAGGTTTTCCTGACATGTAAAGGTGTTCGTTCACTTTGACCTTTCTACCTTTGATTAAAATATGCATTTATTTTTACATAATTTTTAAATAAAACATTTCTCCTATTTCAGTGGGTATACAGTACATCACTGTATGAGGCATGCATTGTGAATTATTTTCTAACCGCACTGTTTTCGCGTGAAATGAGGCGTTATCTTACAAAACAGAGGTTCAAGTTAAAGGGGGGGTAATTGTGCTTCTGTTGTATGTCAAGGCTCAAACTCCTTGCGGACTCCTACGGCGATTTACTTGTGCACTTTGATGTCTTAATAGTACGTCTCTAGATGCATTTGTTGACCCTGCTATTCTGCATTCTTTCTCGAAATGAACCCATTGCTCTTTTCATTGTGTTTCAAGGAGATCACGGGGCATTTGAGCTGGGGCGCCAGTGGCCGATGTGGAGCTCTCGCCTGACAGGGGACGAGCCGGACTCGTCGGCCTGATCCGTCAGGTGGGCTCCAAGCCGCCCCGAGCCGCCCCGAGCCGCCGTCCTTCTGTGCGCTTTTGCGCGAGCACAACGACCGGAAACATCGGAAACGTTTTCTTTAACGATGTTTGTACACCGTCGTTTTTCCCCCCGTTTTCTCCAAAAATCCGAATGGCAAATTTTTTTTAAAAAAAAGTATATTCCCGCAGGGCGGTAAAACGTTTGCCCTTCTGCGGAGCTGCCCGGCTTTCCGAAGGGTAAGTGACGAGCCATATAGCATTCACAAACACCCCTCGAAACAGGTGTCATTTAAAGAGGAGAAGGAGGGAAAGGGGATTTAAAAAAGTACATATTCCACTCTTGTCAGATCGTTAGGGGAGGTGTTAAATGTTTGACAGAGAGCCGCGGCGCTGTGATTTTCCGAGCCCGCCCTGCTGTCTGACACGCCGGGGGTGGGGACACAGGTGTGCACTCAAGGTCCTTAATGCGGCCCGCGGGGAGGGGGTCATTCCGAGTCCCGTGACTGGTCAGAACTCTCCCGATTGTTCTAGAACCAGCGCCCCCCCCCCAGATAAGCGGCCCCGCCGCTGGCGACTTGTTGCCCGAGGTCCTGATGAGACAAAGGGACAAAACGACCCTTCCATCGGGCGTTAAGATCCTCAGCACTTGTAAAAACAAACAGCAAGTCGAAAACAGACACGCAAAGTAAACCCATAAGTACACGGACGTGATATTTTTTTTAAATTATGTTTGCGACGCTACAGCCAAACGTGCACTACAGTTGTACAGTACAGTTTCTGTTGTTGTTGTTTTTTCCCTAATTGGGGCACCAGGCTGCAGAAGCCAACCGCCCAGAAGAAAGGTAAATTTCCACCGTGCTAACACAGCATTCGCTAGGCCACATGTAACAGTTTGGGTTAAATATTGTTTAAAAAGCCTCCGTGTGCACCTTAAAAGGGGGAAAAAAAAACTCTTTCGGGCTCTAAAGAGGCGCAGAGGACAAACAACAAAGCACTAGCCCTGAGGTAAACAACAAGACATAGTGACGTAGCGGCCTCGATAGAGATTGTGATTGGTCATCAGACAAAGAGCAGACGCCAAGCACCCGCCCCCTCCCCCGCGGAACCTATAAATACAGGCTCCCGGGTCGGAAGCGCTCAGTCTAGCGCCGTTCCGAGCCGCTGCTGTTGGATGTAATCGGTTCACACGGGGGTCTGGGTCCCAGACTGTCAGCGGAGGGGGTAACACTCCTGAGAACCGAATGAAGAAACATCTCCTGCTTCTCTTCACATTCAGAGGACTCGTGAGAAAAGGGAAAAAGAGTAAAAGAAGAAAATGGCCAAGTTCATATTGCGGAAAGCCGAGCCCAAGGACGTGTCTGACATACTGCGACTCATAAAGGTAAGTTCCGGTTTGGCTTGTGACGCGTTTTTGTTTTTGTTTTTGGGGTGTTTTTTTTTTTTGCAGGCCTCTCCAGGCAGACGGACAGTCGGCACCCGTCTTGGAGCACCTGAAAACGTTTCCGTTATTTATCTTTTTTTTTTTTGCAGGCCGCGTTTCTTTACGGTTTCTTTCTCGGTGCCGTTACGCAGGTGATAAACGAGGCTGTTTTTTCTAGTCCGACGGCCAGGGTGCAGGCCCGTCTCCCGACGCACCGTTTCCTCTTTATCGGTACAGGGGACCTGCAGCCACGTAAGGAGACGGGGGGGAGAGAGAGAGAGGGGTAGGGGGATGGTGGGTGTTTTTTTGACATTTAAAAAACAAATCCTAAACTCGGGTTGTAACAAATGCCTGGAGGTTGAGTTGGCGGTTTGCGCAGGAACTAGTCGCGGGTATACATCCCCTTGACCACCCACACCTCTCCCAAATATCGCTTCCCCAGGCTGGGTCCTGCTCCCTCAGACCGGCAGGTGCGTGGGTCCCACAGCCGGGGCGACCCGGGACTTAACGGGGCTCTTCTGTGGTCTTGTTTTCCAGGAGCTCGCGAAATACGAGGAGATGGAGGATCAGGTCATATTGACCGAGAAAGGTACAGTTTGCCAGCAGCCGCACCGCCGAGCGGGGTAGTCTCTGATCAGACTCTGGGCCTGCATTGCTGGCCATGCAGAGAGAACGGGCAGCACTCCCAGGCCCCTCTCAGTCACATGAGCCTCCCTGAATTTCTTTCCCATAACGTAATATGCGTCCCCGTCCATCCCACACAAATATCCATGTAGGCTTGCTGCGTGTTGCTGAATGCTGCCGAAGTGCTACTGCTCGGTCAATCCTCGCTTTGTAGACGGCCGTACAGGGGTGTCCTTATGAAAGCCCTGTCAATCTGTTTTGCTAAGAATTGTTTACCTGTCACGGGGGAGGAGGGTGGTGGTTCGTAATGGGGCGGATTGTAGACATTCAGGTTTGTACTCCCAGCGTCGCTATTTTTGCCCCGAAGCGTTCCCGGGAGCCATTGCTTAGCAATTGAGGTAGTGGCCCAGCTTCTTCAGCCCCGATCTCCCCCAGCCAGCTCGAGGCGTCTCGCTCACCAGCCCGTCTCCTACTCCAGTCTTTTTTTTCTTCTCTATCCTCCCCGTGTTCCGCAGATCTGCTGGAAGACGGCTTCGGAGATCACCCTTTCTACCACTGCGTGGTTGCAGAAGTGCCTGAGGACCGGCGGACAGCTGAGGGTACTTTTTTTTTTAGGGAGTATTGCGATTCCAAAGCTCCGCTTTCATTTCAAGTAATGCATGATCACGTTTCCTTGAGTGTGGGTTAAGATGCGATGTGCACTCCTCTTTCAGGTGTGGTCATGCATTATTTGTGCAGTGTGGCTAGGATATCAGTCTGGCTCCTATCTTTAGATAGGACTGAAGTATGCAGTGTCTTCTCTAGCTTTTCTTATTGTTGCAGTTGCACATAGCATTTTATGGGATGTGCAAAAAATGGAATGTTAAACTTGCTGCTGGTACATTAAGATTCAGATGAACGTCCAGTGTTTTGAAGCAGAAGGGTGGCTTTTTTTTTTTTAAGTTGACCAGATTGCAGAATGTTGACCCTGGCTACTGAGTTTTTAACCCTGTTGAAGTGTATTCTCTCTAATTTATCCCCAATCTTCAGGTTACAGTCTCTTGCTTCGACATGTACACAGCCCTTGGCGTGTACATGGGTGGGCGGGGAGGTAACTGAAAGATCAGTTACACAGTAACATACATGATCGTAACACGCCAGGTAAGGCCCACAGGACTAGCGCCATGCCCCAAACTGCACACGGTAGCTCAGAACATGCCGGCAGCCCTCTCTATTAAGAGGGTGCATGACAGGTCCTGGAGAAGGTTGTGTGCTCTTTTTGTTTTTAAGAGATGCACACAGGCAAATTCTGTGGCTGTAGAGTTCTTCCAAATTCAAATGTTGGCAGCGATGACCCACACTCTTCACTGTGGAGACTTCAGTTGCAATTTAAGCATTGTTCCACCTCCAATGCAGGTCAAAAAGTTATTCAGTGCGTGTATTTGTAATCCACTGGTATCTTCGATTGGCTGTGCAAGGATGTTTCTCAGTCTTGACTGTATTCACAGTTCACCCTTTTTATATCTAGAGTTTAAGACTTATTCTGAACTGCCGTGTAGATCCGATAGCGATCTTGTTGGTTTTTGCTTCAGGCGACAAATAAGTCAAGCAGTCCAAGTCGGCGTGACTTGAACATGCTGTTTAATTGACAAGTACTGTCCCCCAGAACACAATCATGCATGGAACATGTCCTCTTTCCTCAAATTTGTGGTTGCCCTCTATTAAATGTTAATTTAGCCTGGAGAACCTTCTCTAATTGTCATGACCTGTTTTCCAGGTTATAATGTTGTAGGATTTGCCATGTACTACTTCACCTACGACCCCTGGATTGGGAAACTGCTGTACCTGGAAGACTTCTATGTCATGAAAGAATACAGAGGTAATTTTAAAACTGACATCTGCTGCTTTAGCTTTTCACGTGGGACCTGTGACTTCGTTGATTGTATTCAACTTGTTTTTCTTTTCCAGGAGATGGTATTGGGTCTGAAATCCTGAGGTATCTCAGCCAGGTAAGGCTGGCTGACTTTTGGGTGGTGGGGGTGATGTTTTTGGGTCCTGTGGTTTACATTGTGGAATGAAGTACTGGGAAACAAGGGAGTGGCCTTTTAGTGTTAAGTGACGTTTCTGGAGCTCCTTAGTCTTGGCTCAGTGGTAGCACGTAGAGATTGTGGACTGTTCCCAAGGGATGGTCAGCCTTGGCTCTGCATGGGGTGTCATTGTGTTTTTACTTGTCGTTCCGCCAGACCGCGGTGAAGTCGCGCTGTAGCAGCATGCATTTCATCGTGGCCGAGTGGAACAAGCCCTCCATCGAGTTCTACAAGCGGCGCGGCGCCTCGGACCTGTCCCTGCAGGAGGGCTGGCGGCTCTTCCGGATCGACAAGGAGTACCTGCTGAAGATGTGTGCCGAGGAGTGAGGGCCGGATCTGTGGCTGGGAAAACCGGGAGCCCCTCTATCTGGAAAGGGGAGCTTTTTAAAGCTATACAAACCTTAAGAAATTTCGCATGCGTCTTGACCTGTATCCTGTCTTCTGCTTTTTGACATTTTTACTATTTTTATACTAGTAGTACAAGTATGCCTGTTATTTGCTTAGCTTACAAAAGAACTGGATAAGACCGTACTAACTCGGCATTGTAACACTGGTTTATGCTTGTGGAGACTGTTCAGTTTAAAACTAGAATTTGTCACACCTTCTGTTAGTGTTTTGTGTTCTTGTAGATCAGTAGTGTATTTTGTTGACTTATGCTCTTAAGTAAAATGAAGTGTTGGCATGTCTGTTTAGTCTTCATTTTTAAGTGACCCCATCTCATGTCGATTTTATATTTTCAAGCTTTGAAAGTGCTCACGGCATTAAGGGTTCAGAGCAGTTATCCCATTCCCTAGTTCTAGAATCCCATGGATAAGAAACTAAAACTATTCATTAGGCAAGCTACCATTAGGAGGCCCACATTCTTGTAACTGAGAATCATATTCTCCTCCACAGCCATAAACAAGTGAAACATGCTGACCTCATTTTGCCAATTTTAATGGCCTCTAAAGTATGTTGGAAAGGGCTCGGCAGCTACATGGGTGTAAGACAGTATGTGTAGTAACTTGCGCTTGAACTCTTGCATTTAGAATGTTTTTTATTAACCCTTTTTTGACATCCTACTGTGTATTTACATATAAGATCTGGTTAAAATCTCCTTATACACTTAGTGGATGTTGCTTGAACAAGTCACGACTGGCAGCTTTAACTATAGTAATTTTCTATTTAAAAAAAACAAAGGAAGTCTGTGGGATACAAATACGGCTGTCCAGCCTTTTAAAGAGCTGTAGTGAAATGGGGCTGTGCAGTGCTGGAGTGAGAACTGGTGTAGATTTTCATTCTTGCTTGCTCAAGCAAAATCAGACCTTTGTTAGACCACATCAGCGGCGTTGCTCTTCTCCCAAGTTGCTGGCGTGTTAAGCAGGGTTCTCACTTGCTCACCCTTGCTGGGTTTCATTGCTGCAAAGGTCTGAAATAATCCTGAATTGAATCTGCGGTCTGCTTGGTTAGAACCTAGGCAAGTTTTTCTACTCCTCAGTGCTTGGGTAATTTAAAAGCTCCCATCGTGTAGTTAAAAGAATCCCCCACCACCACCACATTAGGAACTGGGAAAAGGGTCAAATTAACCAGGTTTGTTGATTTCTAATGAGGTTTTTCAGGTGTACTAACCTGTAGGGGGTTGGGGGCCCCAGCACTGGGGAACCCTACACTGAAGATGCTAGGCAAACTTGCACAAAGACTGGCCTTCCATGTTTAGCGTTGAGGCCTGCACTCCAGCAGCAAGGGAAATGGAGAGAATGGTGAAGAATTGCAACTTGCTTTCAAGGTTAGCTTGTAAAAGTTGTGTTCTTGAGCCAGAGTTTTTTTTTTTTCTTTTAATCTTTAACAAGCTACAGTGTGTGCTTTTCACATCTTTACACCGAGGTCGTGTTCTTCGGTTATTAAATTACTCATGAGGAGACCAGGTAACTTTCCGTGAACTCTCTGCACTTACAGTACTGTTCACACTTGTAAGGATTCACAGCTGCCATTGTACTGCGGGCTTACTTGACCCCAGCTCACAGCTTGTCTGCATGACTGTTTGGTGGAGAGATGATGTATACATTAAGATGGATCAGAATAGCCCAGCCATCTTCTAATTACAGACAGAACTACAGAATGGAAGCTTGCAATGTTAACCAGGGGGCATTGTTCAATATCCTGCTGTGCAAGATAGAGGGGTGGTCATGTCACTGGTCTGCTGTGGACAGGATTCCCAAAGTCCTGAATCATTGACTCAGAGTTGGTTGGAATAAGTTGACCTGGGCTCTCCTGGTTCCTAGCAAAAATGGTGCAAACAACTGGAACACCCTGGGCACTGACACCAGTGAAGCATGACTCTCCTTCAACAGCTGCTGAAGGACTGTACCTGCACATGTTTGCGAAGCCTGTTCTTCCTATCGATCAGGCTCTTGGAATAAGATCCTGCTCCTGGAAAAGCTGAGTAGCTCAATAGAAAGAAGCTAATTTCTAATGCACATTTGTCAGCATTAAATATTCAATATTGAATGGCAAAGTGCCTTTACAGTAAAAACAAATGTCTTTAATGTATGAAGAATGAGAATGTATCTTTTCTCTGAAGATATGATAAACTGTAAACTTTGAACCATGAAATTGCTTTGAATGAGTAAGAACCCTGCGTTGGATGATAAAATAATAGGCTTCTGTTGAACATTAACAACAGCTAAGTTGTGCTCTTCATGAGGATCTGGTTATATGGGTATTAATAGAATTCACTGAAATGCATGGAGCATTTGTTTTTTTTTTCCAGACAGAAAATACTAGAGTATTTGAAAGGATTTCAAGAAGCTGTCTTTCAAGAGTTAGACATTCTGCTTGAAGCTTGAAGAACAGATTTTGCATATTTCTAATATCTAATATGCATAATCTAAAAGTAACAGTGGGTGTCACTATTTTGCATAAAAAAGGAGCAAGGAGCAGGAGTGAGCCCGCAGAAACAGAACCATGCTCGCTTCCCTTGCAGAAGAAGGTGGGTTCAAAGCCGGGCTGACAGGGGCAGGGAATACTGTGCACAGGAAAGCGAGCCACACTGTGGAGCAGCAAGCTAATAGTCACAACAAAGACTGGAGATCTGCAAAGACGCAGGCACCTTCGACTGGTACAAACTGGAAATGATTGCAGGAGAGATACTGTATCCGTCTAAACTGTTCTGCCGAGTTGCTCAAGTTGTCAAAGCAATACAAGTCCTGCCGAAGGCACAGAGAAAAAGTAAAGAAAGGAGGTTGCACAAGACCCTTCCTGTGGGCAGCCCTTGTCCTTGACATCTGACTCTGCAGCCGCGCGTGGGGGTGTTTTTCTGTGAGCCCGTATGTGCACGAGAAGCGCTGTGTTGTCACAACTGACCGTTTCCATTGTGATGCACTCAGCCACAGCGGACGTATAGCCAGAGGCCTGGAAGAAGTGGTTATATGAACAATTCTGACATCCATAACATTGCAAAGGAACCCTCTTTCATCGGGAAACAGACGCCAAACATAAAATGCTTTCAGCTCGGTTTTACTTTTCACTTTGATTCTTCGGTCTTTAGAAGAATCAACCACAAAGTCCTGTGGTCTCTATGTAGAGCAGAAATGATAGCTCTGCTCTACAGTATATAAGGCTATCAGGACAGCACCTTGCAAAAATGATAATGAAAACGTACAGTACATGTAGATCCTGAAGAATACCAAGAGAGGGGAGATGGCTTCCTTGAGGAGTGTGTAGAAAAGGCTTCTTATAGCAATACTTATAGACAGTATAAGGAAGAATCGTGTTTCAGTAAATTGACAACTACATTTGTCAATTGAATCGTGTCTCAGTAAATTGACAACTACACAACCACTGAGGTGACAACACTGCCTTTAGAGAAACACTTAAGTCCCACTTTCTCTGAATGTTTTACAACTCCACATCTGTATCAAGGGGCCCCTCGGGCCTCCAGGGCACAGGGCACAGGGCACTGGGAAAAGGGAGAGTCTTCCGTTGTGTTGGAATAACAGCCAGGATGTGGTAGCAGATATCCCACATCCCTGGGCAGCACCATTTTCCTGCGAGCAGACGGAAGGCGATAAGTAAATCAGATCAGATCTGATTTCCAGTATGTAAAATTTTAAACGTATTGTGTTCTGACATGTCATTATAGTCATTATATCTGGCATTATATCTTGTGTTTTGTTTTCGTTCTTTTGTATTTACATTATTTGATGTTAAATTCAAGTTTTTAAAGAAAGCGCTTCACCAGGGGTGCAGGGGCGGATTAGCGAACAGCCTAGCATAGGCTGTAGCCTAGGGGCCCCCGATTGTCCAGAGTATTTTTTTAAACGGACCTGTGGGCCCCCAGCGGTCCATAAAAAAACCGTTGAATAATTTGTGAACCAATGATTGGTTAGATGCAATGGGTTCGCAGTTCAGATTTATTTTTGGCGGATTCGTCGGGTGATTTCTGGTACAAGTTGGCGGTAGCCAGCCTCAAAATGTGCGACAGAAAATATGATAGCGGGGCGCGAAAACGAAACGCACGGCCGTTAAAAGAGCCGTGTGAGCAGGATCGACTTAAAAAAGATCCCCAGACTGACTGGTTATTTCAGGTTTGCCGAGCCGGACCCCGGTCCTGGGTTCACGGCTAACGGTGCAGACAGTGCTACAGCAACCGCGGTTGAGAAGTCAGCCGCAGCTACAGTAGCTCTGGCCTGGGCGCGGTCTACTGTACATCCACGACGCTCATGCGGACGAGCAGCTCCCGCGACGGGATCAGAGGAACACGGGTCGGAGGCCGAGCCGTCCGAAACGCCACCAAAATCTCCACAAGACCCGGGAGCCGCCGCCATGGCTGTTGGACCTGCTGCCGTGGAGCCAACAGAGGCCGCAGCCTGCCCAGGTGAAACAGGTGGACAGAGGCGGGCATGCTGGGCCACATCGGGCCCGGAAACCCGCGTCAAAACCCGAGACGCGGATGTTGCAGCGTCAGAAAGACAACATCAACACCAGAAGAGGTATTTCTCCAAAACCCTCTTCAAAAGAAAACTCGGAAACGGCGAGGCGGGTGTGTGTCAAGAGGATGGCTGCTGTATCCCCGCCTCGAAGGTAGTGTTTTGTTTCGCATGTAAGTTGTTTGGGGACAGCGACGATCAGTCCGGACTCGCTGTAGGCTATAGCGACTGGACAAATGCATACGTTATGCGCTGCGCTGATAATGGTCTACTAGATTCTGGACTAAAACGACAGTTTGACAATGAATACGAGTGTTGGACTAACGTCTTGCAAAGGCTGGTGGCAGTGGTGAAGTTTTTATAGCAGAGCGAGGGCTGCCTTCTAGGGGCGCAGCGACAGAGGGGACGTGCCCTCGGAAGTTATCAGCGAGTTTGATCCCTTCTGGAAAGCCCATATGGAAAAACATCTCATCGTCGACGCCGTGTATTGACTGAATTGAGTCCGTTGACTGCAATGGGCTTGCTCGAGTGGGGGGGGTGCCCTGCTGTTCTCGAAATAACGCGCCCTGCTGTGCTGACCTTCTTGTTGTCACCTGGCAGGTTGGCTGCGAATCTGATTTATTGGTTGTGTTGCTGGTATTGCTGGACTTGCATGACAGGCTAGTGTCTGTATATTTGGGCTCCCCGTGTACGTGTGTGTTCCCTGTTAGTGCCGCCTGACATTCCGTTTGAATCGCCGTTAGCAGCTCTTACTCCGCAAGCGTCACTGAATAATTACAGTTAAAGAACAATTGTTTTATCTCGCTTTACTCCGGTGATGGGATGTGGGAGGTGCTGCACAACTTGTGGCCTAGGGGCCTGAGGTCGCCTCAACCCGGCGGTGCAGGCGTGCGCGCGGAGCCGGGAGGCGCGTGACTGCGGCGCTTGGAAGCGGCGACGTCACAGTTTCGCCGGGGCTGGGCGATATTAAGTTGCTCCGGACCTGACTCAGCCGGCAGATTGCGAAACGGCTCCTGCTTGCGACTATAAATCGGGGACGACTGGGCTGAACGGGGTCCCATTTCAACCGGCATCGCCGCCAGTCGAGCCTGCATGTAATCGGTTCGCACGGGGGTCTGGGTCCCAGACTGTCAGCGGAGGGGGTAACACTCC